AAAATTAAAAATGTCTACCACATATTTACACTTTACGGTTGGCAGTAAGGAATGATCATAACCTATCTTATTCCGCATTCACTATGTTTACATTTCCTAATGTAAACATATAATAAAAAACACCTAGGACTATTGAAAACTACTTAAAACAAATTCAACACACTTTAAAGGAAAGTAAACGACCAAGTGTATAGCTATTGGGAAAATGTAAACACAAGAACAAGGTCATGATAATTCCATATTGCCAACCGTAAAGTGTAAATATGGTAGACATATCTTTAATTTTTAATTATAACGCAATTAATGGATTTTATTTAACGATTATTGCTCTGTTTTAATAAGTAATCAGTGTTTCGATATATAAGAGGGTCGATATGCTTATTTAATGCGCATAAGGTCAGTATAAGCCCGTAAAGAGGACCTATTTAAAAGTGAATGCATAGGGCGATAGCGGTCAATCGACAATAAAACAGACAAGTCCTGCAATTCGAATTTCGCGGGATATTATGACGTAACCACTAATAGGCTCTATTCACACTATCGAAAGGGTTCATAATGGCGGCTGTCACTTACCAACAGATGCAGAAATGTGATGCCCATGCATGAGACACCATTCGTAACTCTGCAGACAAGAAATTTCACAACGGACCTTACCTAAAAAACAGCTTCGTGTGTTAATTTGAGCAGATAGACACTCCAACTCACTATTTAAATGAAATTTGATACATATGCACAAAATTTCTTTATGGATGCAACAAACTCACCGGAAACGTGTAAATGGTTGTCTGTTTTGCGTCCGGTGATTTCACCGGTCCGTCAGTTTACCGGTCCGTTAAAAAAAACGGATCGTGTGAAAGGGCCCTAAGGTGGTCTTGTGGGGACTAGATAGAGATACGCAGAACTTTTATTAAGAAAAGTTGTTTAGAATGAAAAACTGAGTAAATTAGGGGTTTTAGGTATGTCAAATTTCATTTTATTCATAATGAAAATATGTATTAATATATCTAAGTACAAAAAACTGTTCTCCCTTGGGTTGGTAGAACAGCTTTGAATATGCTTTCAAGCATTTCATACGTATTTTACTTTCACCCGTGTGGACAAAAAAGAACATTTTTGTCTGTTACAACTAAACAATCGCTGGACAGTGGGACACACTGTATAAACCTTTTTATTGCTCTGTATTGCTGCGTTTTCTTGTTACTAGTATTCAACAATTTACACTATAGATATATGAACTTTTGTAATACAAGCAAGATAGTCTGATCAGCTGCTTAATTAAATCATTTTTCTTAGTGCATTTCGTCAGAATTCAGGGGAACTTTACTTTTTACTGTCTTCCGATGCTTACTTGAAGTCCTGCTTTTTCATAAACTATATTGTAAGTACTGACAGGCTTCTTCTATACCGTGACTGCAACAACATGTCTTGCAGAGTCTGTTTTAGCATTGAATAATAATATTATTCAATGGTTTTAGTGATGAAGTATATTACGTTACGTCACAACAGAGTCCATGTACTCCAACGGTGTAAAATCCCCTCATGCCTACCCTGGGAAAATGAAATGTACTTGGAAGTTATTGCAACTGTTAGTAACGATTATTAGATTTGTGCATTTCTATGTTTTCCAATGAGTAGACGTAGAAAATCCTTCACGATTAACAATATAATCTTCTTGTTTTCGTAGATCTCCGTAAATCACGTAATCAAGTTAATTTCCTTATAGCATTTCACATCATTGAACACATAATTAACTCTCATTGCATCGGAAATTCAATACAGCCTATGAGAATTAGTGGCGATTTAATACGTAAGAGCGGCTTTTCTCACTAAATCGTTCTTTTGTTTGGAGTGCGTTGTCGTCGTCTAAATAATTGTTATTAAATTATGATTGCCTGACATAAGGTTAACTTTCTCAATTTTTATACATTTGGCTTATCACTTTCTAATGCACGCCGCTTGTTTTGTAAATTAACATTAGTAAAAACGCAGTCAATTTTAACTTTCTTGCCGAATCTGAGTTGGTACACGGGTACTTTATTATTCTTACACAAAAATAAAGCATTTAGTAGAAAGCTTAGTAACTTAAGGTCTTAGGCACTCGCGCAAGACCGTTCGTAGTGATTCATTATTTTACGCAACCTTGCCTAATAATAAGCAACAATGCGAACGCCGTTTTTGTTTATTAATAGAGTATATACTTATATCTACTGACCTACTGCATTAATAGTAACCATAAACGTATACATTAACATTACTCGATCAACGAGCGAGTAATCCGTTACTTGCAAGGTTACTGGGACTCGCGCCAGGTGTTGCTGGTCTAATTGATCTGCAATTTGGTATCTTTTGATATAATGGCCGTCCAATCAGCTCCTTAATTATTTTCGAAAGAACTGTAAGAATGGTTCGAATAAAACGGGAAATGTCTTATCACTATTCAATTCACCATGACGTGCGTTTCTGTGTTAAGGTCTTCAATGAAGTTGGGTTGTGGCTTCTATTACTATACGTTCCGTCTTTGGGTTTGTTAGTAAATGATTGCTTCTCTTAAAAAAAATATGCCATTGTACAGCGACATAGTGTGACGGGGACCAGTGGCGGCGCGAGTTTGTGGCAAGTTGGCTTTTGCCAACCATTTGCGCAAAAAAGGCGCCAGAAAAGGCGCTTAAATGGACAGGTACAATTGCATAAAAATTAGAAAAATGATTAAAAAACAAAAAATTATTTGCATAGTAATTTTACATTATGAGACGATTTTCTGTAACTCTTGGAGAAGGAAGTCGAAACGTATTGTAATAATTGCCGGCTACATTGCATTGTTATTTAATTTCACCATTCAGCGAAAGAGAAAGATAAGAAAGATTAATGCCCTCAGCGTCACCCGAACTGCCAGACGACGCACCCACGCTCCTCTACCTGCTACCAGGATCCCGGGCGTCGGCCGTCGGGCGCCTTTCGGTCACTTGCATGTTTATTGTTTTTTAGCGCATTTTTGCAAAATTTTTTTTTGTAAAAAGTAGCTTTTAATCTCACTTTGGCTGGCTGGCTGGCTGGCCGGCTGGCTGGCTGGCAGTAAATGCGCGCCCGTAGAAAAACGCTTGTAAAAAGACAAGGAGTGTACATGTAACTAGTAATTAAGAACGTTAGGGATGGGGCTACAAGATTTGGAGTACATCTGGACGCCAAGACAAGGAGTGTACATGTAACTAGTAATTAAGAACGTTAGGGATGGGGCTACAAGATTTGGAGTCGACGACATCTGGACGCCATCCCCGAGCGTATTATACTAACCTGGAGATATTTCAGTTTTTATCTATCTTCTTCTGCAGTTTTTCTCCGATTGTTTTCAAATTGGTGTCGTCGGGAAGATCTTGCCAACGCGCACAACTCCTGCGTGGCGGAATTTTGTTTTTTTTTTCCTAGGGGCGAAATAAACCACCTTTTGCGCGGCGCGCTTCGAGGGGTAGTCGACTTTGGGCGCCCAAAAGTTTCTTACAGCGCGAATCGCGGTCTCTCTTTCTCGTGTCACTAATAGAAGGTCGAGCTATGTGAAGTACCCAAAAGTTGAATACGATTTTATGCCGGAATTTTAGCGAAATCTACCAAAATGTGAATTACGAATGAACGGGACGTCGGAACTGTGTATCGACAAAGGGAATGTGGTAACCCCCGACGAGATCTTACTGATGGTGGAGTCGAAACTTCAAATCCGAATTGTTGCGGGTGATCAGAAGTGGGTGTCGACAAAGGGAATATGGTAACCCCAAAGGATTTTACTGATGGTGGAGTCAAAACTTCAAACGCGAATTGCGAGTGCACGGTAAGTGAGAAAATGGTACCGACAAAGTGAACGTGGTAGCTTTCGGCAAGATCTTATTGATGGTGGAGTCAATATTGGCTAATAAAACACTGATCTGCCACACAAAAATGCGCTGAAGTCCCTTCGATCTCACACGAGGACTTTGATCATTTTTTCGTAATTGCATCTCGCTAATCGCTAGCTGTGTGCATTATGGTATTTATTAATTTGTGATTTTGTTGTTATACTTTAAACACTTTGTGGTTTTGTAATTTGTGTAAGTTCGTGATATTGAGGATATACTGTGATATTGACCTTGAACGTGATTTACAAAGGATTATTCCAAGATCTAGACTGAACTACAGTCTGTACGTCGTTGGTGTCGTTAATGAATAATTAGATACGTGTGATTAGATTTATTAATTACACCTAAGTCATATCTACAATTATGTACAATACAATGGCGATTCGTGACTGTGTCGCTTGTCACGGTGTCATAGATGAGATCGGTCCCTAACACAGTCAACATTATTTTCAATCAAACGCCATTGTTTATTTAAACCTCTCGCCAGGAAAGATTGCCGGTCATAGAACACTTGATCCCGGTCTTCAATCTATGGTTTTCTAAAGATGTGAGCGACTTCCGGGATAGTATCGTGTCAATGTTGAACAAAAAGAGTTTTCGTTCAACATTGGCACGATCCTATTCCGGAAGTCGCTCGCATCTTAAGAAAAACATAGATTGTAGATCGACACAAGGTGTGCTGTGACAGGCAATCTTTCCTGGCGAGAGTTATAGTTAGTTCAAGTGAGTGACCTAGGTGAGATGTTTTCCAGACTTCCCAATGTCAATCCGATGAGCAGTATATTTATTAACGAATCATTAACGTTTACTAATCGTGTTCTGTATGCAAAAGCGAAACAATTTTCTCAACAAAATGATATCAAATATGTGTGGGTACGCAATGGAAAAATTGCCATGCGTAGAACGGACAACAGTAAGATTTTTATTATTAATTCTGTGGACGACTTCAAAGATGTTCATTAAATTCTGAAATATTCGTAATTAAAATTACCTACGTATGTCATTCATTTCATTTTTGCTTTCATTCTTTTAATACTTGTACATTACTCTCTTCTAGTACTATTGGAATATCATCATTTTTGTTATTTCTCATCGTAATGAACCTACTGCTCTATATTATTATTTCGTCTTAATTATTTGTCATGATTCTGCATGTGGAATTAAAATATATCAGAATTGCACATTTGAATGTAAGATCGATTACTAATAACTTTCTTGATTTTAAACATGTGTTAGCTAACGACTATGATGTGATTGGCGTAACCGAGACCTGGTTAACTTCTGATACACCTAGCTATGCTGTAAGTATTCCTAATTATAGGTTTGAACGGAAGGATCGCACAACGCGTACATGGGGTGGAGGTGTGGGTGTATATATAAGAAACAATTTGCAGTATGATCTTAACTCGTGTGCTTCCTTACAGAGCAGTGATAGTCTTGAGCAAATATGGATAAATTTGAGATTGCATAAAGTCAGATTAGCAATAGGCACCTTATACAGGCGACAAGAGTTTCCTTTTTCCGAGTTTTTAGATGACTTTGAAAACTGCTTCGTACACCTGCTGCCTACAGGAGCTGAGGTTATCTGTATAGGTGACCTAAATATTGACCTTGGGAAATTCGCTAACAATCACGCCGTAACATTCCTAACTTTGGTTGAAGTGATGGGTTTAAGACAGGTTGTGCAGGAACCGACCAGGGTAAGCAAGACGACTTCGAGTTTAATTGATTTAATTATACTGCCATCTGATAAAACTATTGATACTGTAGGAGTAATTCCAATGGATACAGTTACTGATCACCATCTGGTTTTTTGCGAGTATCCAATAAATGACAGTCTCACCACCAAGGATCTATTCCACACCTATCGAGATTTTAAACATTTCGATCTTAATCAATTCAATCAGGCAATGCAATTAGTTAGCTGGGATCACATATACAGTATGACTGACCCTAATGACATGGTAACTTTCTTGAACATGAATATTTTATACATTTTTGATCAGCTAGCCCCAATAAAAACAGCAAGAATATCTAAGCCTAAGGCACCATGGCTTACCGATACTATTAGGCGGATGTTTTTAATACGGGATCGCGCATTAATTAAATTTAAAAAAACCAAAAACGAATGTCATTGGAAATTTTATAAGGTTATGCGAAATTATACAAATGCTGCTGTTAATAGGGAAAAAAAGGCGTACCTCGATTTTATCTCTAAATCAGATAATGAAATCTGGGGACGCCTAAAAGAACTACATGTTTATAATAACATAAAGTCCTCCGAAATTCCTTGCCATCTAGATGACGTTAATAAAATAAACGCCGCCTTTGCCAAAATTTGTAATGCTAGTTGCACAGTTGAACTGGAAAAACTTTCAAATTTCTATAATAATACACCGACCAGCTCAATTGAAAACAAATTGGAATTTTTTGGTATTGATGAAGGCATCGTATTACATCATCTTATGAAAATTAAATCAAAATGTATTGGATCTGATGGTATTAGTCTTAAGATGCTCATTATTTGTTGTCCACTCATTCTGCCACACCTTGTGTTCTTGTTTAATAGTTGTATGGTGTCCGGCATATTTCCGGAAGCTTGGAAGCTTGCAAATATCACTCCCTTGCCTAAAATAAAACACCCTGTAAGCTTTAGTGATTTGCGACCCATAAGCATCTTACCGGTTTTGTCAAAAGTCAAAATTCTTACTGAACAAATAAATACGCATGTGTCCAATTTCAATGCTTTGCCTGTGACACAGTCGGGGTTTAGACCTGGGCATAGTTGTGTTACATCGTTGCTTAGCATAACAAATGATATCATCAAATCTACCGATCAAGGTAAATTGACAGCATTAATATTGTTAGATTATTCGAAGGCATTCGACACTTTAAACCATAACATTCTTGTAGATGTATTACACCGAACCGGATTTGGCGACAAAGCTTGCTCTTTATTACGTAGTTACCTTACAAACCGTAGGCAGCAAGTTGTCAAAAAGAAAAATGTTTCACATCAACTGTTCACTACATCTGGGGTACCGCAAGGCTCAGTTCTTGGTCCGATCTTATTTTCACTGTACACTTCCAAATTTCAATTCGCGCTCAAACATCTATCAGCGTATCAATATGCAGATGACACACAATTGTTGTACAGTTTCCACGCATCTGATGTTGCTCAAGCAAATGATAATATGAGCTCTGATATTGACTACCTTGTAGAAATATCAGAACTCCACGGTTTGAAAATTAACACTTCTAAGTGTTCTGTTATGTTGTTCGGTCCAAAAAAAGATAGAGAGTTAGTCAAGAACTGCATATCGATTAAAACCCAAAACTCAATAATAAAAATAAAAGAGTGTGCTAAAAACTTGGGATACTGATTTGCGATTTGAAAGACACATCTCGGAAGCTTGCCGGAAAGCATACATAAACCTAAAACTAATATTTGGTCATCGACAGTTTCTTAATCGTAAAGTGAGGGCAATGCTGTGTGAAACATTAGTTCTTTCGCAGTTTATACTACTGTGACCAAATCTATGGTCCTTGTTTGAAAAACACAGAAATACATAAAATTCAGAAAATGCAGAACTCATGCCTTCGTCTGATTTTTGGAATAAGGAAGCATGAACACATCTCTCACAAGTTGAAAGAAATTGATTGGCTCAATATGTCGAAAAGGAGATTATTACATTCTGCATCCTTATTTCATAAAATCATCTCTACTAAGATGCCTACCTACCTGTATGAAAACATTAAATTCAGTTCTAGTAGTCGACATTACAAATTAATTACCCCTCCACTACATAAAACGCAAATGTTTAAGCGATCTTTTTCATACAACATAGCAAGTGTCTATAACAATATTCCCGCGTATATAAAAAGAAAAGAAAAAGGCGCATTTAAACGAAATTATTTTCATTTACTTCTACGTGAGCAAAACAATTGATTATTTTTCTTCCCCTTTTCCTTTTCTTTTTCTTTATTTAGAACCACGACTGATTTATTTATCTCTCTCTCCCTTTCAATATACATATTTTTAAGTTCATTCCACTAATTGTTTTATTTTCTTAGTTTAGGATGGGGTTAAGTGGTAGAGCAGTTCTAGGGTGTCTCACCATAGAACTGAACTTCGCCCCGTTAGATTACGGAACATTAATTTCATTTTTCATTTAATTTTAATTATTTAGTTTATTATCTATTTGAATGTTTATTTTATGTTTATTTCTTTCTGTACTTCCAGTAATCTAATAAATGTCACTTATTATAGTTAGCTGTGGCTCGAGATCTAGGAACTCACAACTGCTATGGTTATTAGTACTACATACTACTTAGTACTTAAAGGTAGGTAGGTATATTTTGAAATTGTTGGGACACGAGTTGTGAAATATTTTTGGGGGTAAGGGCCCACAATTGTTTGGGGAGGCAACAGACAAAGTTCTCATTCCAGAATCTCAATAGGCGCCTATTCGAGTAGCTGCCAACGGCGCGAGCGGCTCGCGCCGCCACTGACGGGACCACCGATCATCACTGGGCAGGTATTAAAATTGAAAACATCAAAGAAAATGTAATAATATTAGCACCTATCAAACGCAACAATTCTGAGCTTTACACGAGCTTTTATAACTTTCCACTACCATCTGCACCCCCGTCGCCACTAGCATACGAAATGAGTACGCAGAAAATTCGTTCTGGCAATTGTTTAATCTATAAAAATAAACTTTGCCGAACTTTCTACAATAATTTACAACTGATCACAGTAACCACCTCGGTAACCACCTATGTTCAATGTCTTATCAAATCTCTGTTCGGAATTTTCTGTGGGGTGGACAACAATATCTATACCTACCTATGGAGATAATAGACATGTTATTTTTGTAAACTGGACTAAACAAGTATAAATTGTGCACAACTCTTGTGCAGATAAAGCGCATTTCTTTAATCGAAATAGCTTTTGTGTTGACATCACCAATGGATATATTTCTAGCAGACGTCTCAATCGCTCTTTGTGAGTACCCTCTTCAGACAATCCGTTCTCGAGGTATAAGGGAATATACTCGATCACGATAAGAGGTCGAGGAGGAGGGCTATGGTTGGTATAAAATTAATTCCTTTCGTTGAGACCTTTCAGTTTAGAGTACCATAAAGGATAAAACTAGTTCCACTAACACCCCCCCCCCCCCCATCCACCTCGTAGTTTGATACGAGGACAGAAAGAAGGGCAGTAGTTGGTAGAAAACGGTTCCTTTCGTTGAGATTCTTAATTAGAATACAATAAGAGATAACATTAATTTTTAACCCCCTCTCCTCCTCAGGACCCGTCGCTCACTGATCTCGAAAAAGAGTCGCACGGGAAATGTATAGTTTCTACAAACCAATTTATTTCGATGAGACTTTTCATTAGAATACCATGAAGGGTAGAAGATGGGTTACCCTCATTTTCTAAAGTTTAACTTGGCACCACTAAAGGCATGCGTATGCAAAATCTGAGACCAATTGGTTGTCATATGTAAAAGTTAGGCACGTTTTACTTTCAAAAACAGCATTTCAGGAAATAATTCGTGGGTGGCCTTTTAGACAGCGAAATTTGATGACCGTCTGAAACACCTTCAAGGTATAGGTTACCTACTGCAAAAAATTCCAGGACTCTAGGACCATTCCCCTAGAAGTAGTTGGCAGTGGCAGAAGTGGGTCCGGACGGACAAAACGCAAACAATAGCACATTTTTTTAAAAAATATGCCAAAAATTGAGTAGTATATCCGTATTACCATTGTATATACACCATACAATTACCATTGTATATACACCATACAATGGTATTACGTACTTGAAGTTGACCAGATTCGCGAATGACTAATGAAAGCCTGTAGTGATTTATGAGTTATGACCTCGGTTATGACCATTCTGGACAAGACTAACTTATTAGCTGCACGCATTGTCTTTTAAATGAAAAAGAACCGGATTGATATCGTTTCAGATAACCTAGATTTAGAAATTATTTTTTTTCGAGGATTCTACAAATTCACTTTACATAACAATAATTATCTGAAAAACGATTACCATTACGAACATTAAAAAGAATTCTGTTCATAAGGGGTATCAAAAATACCTAAATATATAAAACAAGTTGTAAATCAGCATGTGCATGACTAAAGGGCATATTTGGTAATACAGGTCAGTATTTTTATTTATTTATTTATTTTTTTTAAACTAAATTCATAATTCCTGCAAATCAGTGTTCAACAGGCCCAGCGCAATCGCATTAGCTGTTAAACAGGCAGAAAAAAGAATTGACGAAGGAAAACAAAAATGTTCGGTAAGCAAAAGAATTCGATTTTACCTCTAATTGCTTTTATTGCGGTAAAAATGCAAAAAAAATAAAGATGATAAAGTAGTTGAGCACAAGGAAACAAAAGAAAATATTTTAACAACATTAAAGAGACGAGAGAAGACAGATTTCGAGATAACTTTATTAACGCGAATCCAACACGTCGATTTAGTTGTATTTATCATGTCAAAAAAACCGACAAAAAATTGTTTTTTTTTCAGATTTTAGTAATTTTTTGATTATTAAAATATGTCTTTACGAAAATTTTGCTATCACGCGCAGCTCTGTACGATGAAACTAAAAGATGTTTTTGTTGAAAATCGTGAAAATCTCGGAAACGGGTTAACTTTACGGGCCCAACAAATTGTCTT